GGTACTGGAAAAAAAACAAAAACAAACAAACAACAACAACAAAAAATCTAGGCCATATATAAAAGCTTAAGCTTAGAAATAAATTTACTCAAAATTTTTTAAGTCCATCACTTTTCTGTTCTAAAACAAAAAACCGTGTGAAGAACTAAAAGAAAACAAAACCAAAAAAAGAAATCATTAGTGGTTATTGCAGTGAGCTTCCTATATAAAAACATAAGGAGGGGCTGGGGATTTAGCTCAGCGGCAAGAGCGCCTGCCTGGCAAGCGCAAGGTCGTGAGTTCGGTTCCCGGTACTGGAGAAAAAAAAACAAAAAACAAAACAAAACAAAAAAAAACATAAGGAGATGGAGTATCAGTGAAAAAGTATGTTCATTCTTTGGTATATAACAATAAAAAAGATACACAAATAGCTGTGTAGCTGCTGTATTGTACATGAGGAAGCAGAAACAATAAGCAACAATAACTCCCTCATGGGACTGTGATTACCATGCAGGATCTGAGTTTCTCCTCTACTTTGTGTAGACTAGTTACACAAACCCTAGTCTGGCTGAGTGTGGTGACCCACACTTATAACCACAGCTACGCAGGAGGCTGAGGCAGATGGATCACCAGTTTCAAGCCTGCCTGGGCAACTTACCAAGACCCTGTCTAAAAATTAAAAATAAAAAAGACTGGGGATATAACTCAGTGGTCAAGTGCCCCTGGTTTAAACCCTAGCACTACAAAAATACATGTACATATACATATACATATACATACGTACATGGCCTTTCAAATCTAGTTTTCTAATAACTAATGATTTTGGGGAACTGAACTTATTACGATCTTTTATATTTCATGTGACCACAACAAATTTATTCACTATATATTCCTAGTAAATAAGAAAAATAACTGATACTGATGATATTTGACAAATGTTAAGAAATTAACACGTTCTTTCTCATTGGTTTGCAGAAAACTAGAAAGAAGATAAAATTGAAGGATGCCTTTCTAGCAGGGCTCAGCACTCAGCACTCAAGAGGCTGAGACAGAAGGACTGCGTGCAAGGCCAGCATGGCTACACAGTGAGTTCAAGATCAGCCTGGACCACATAGCAAGACCCTGTGTTAAAAAACAAAACCAAACAATTTCCCTTTACAATGAAGTGATCATAAACCATTTGTTTCTGCATTTGTTCATTTACGTATCTACTAAGACTTTGCAGTTTGAGACGTTTTGCACCCACTTCAATAACTAAAACCAAAGAAGTCCAGTGTGGTGGTGCACACCTGTAATCCCAGCACTGTGGGATACTGAGGCAGGAGGATCATAAATTTAAGCCCAGCCCAGGCAATTCAAATGCTCTCAAAATTTTTCATTTTTTTTTTTTAAAGAGGGAGGGACCTGGGATGGAACTCTGTGCAAAAGACTCCAGTTCAATCCCTAGTAGTAAATATATGTAATTATAGAATCTAGGTAATAGTTACATGATTATTCAGTGTAAAGCTCTTTCATCTTTTCTAGACGTTTAGCAACTATATATTAAAATGTCAAGGAAAAATCAACTTTTACAAGTTTCACTACAACTTTTAAATCAAATTTCACCCTATTTGGAGATCTGTATTGCATTCTTATGAAGTATGGAGTAATCTTATATGGAGTAATGGAGTAATCTCTTACAGGAGTAATGGAGAAGGACCCAAAAGCATTATACAGAAATAATACATCTGCCAGGCATGGTGGCGCACACCTGTAATTCCAGCACTCAGGAGGCTGAGGCAGGAGGATCATTGTGAGTTCTAGACCAGCCTGGGCTACAAAGTGAGCTCAAGGCCAGCCTGAACTGCCTAGCGAGACCCTGTCTCAAAAAGACCACACAAAAAAATAAAAAATTTAAACAGAGGC